GTGAATGGCGTCTAAAACAATCCTTAAATAAAAGGCAGCCAGTGCTCTGCTCATTTTCTGCCTACAATTAAAAGTAATGTATGAATTAATAAATACAAAACACACCAATACAGAAACAGTAAAGCTTTACAATTATTAAAACTACTCATAAAATATCTGTCATTTCATTTTATCTGTCAAAAGTATTAGTCAGATCTGGAAGTCAGGCAGGAAGCAGGCCCTACAGCTGGCAGCAATCACCTGTGTGACTCACTTGTGATTGGCCCTTCCCTTGCTTGGTGTTCCTAAGCTACACTCAGACCAGCACACCTGGCACCAGGAACTGTACCACATTTAAAGTCTCTTTATTACTTCTGTTTGTTTATTATTAAAATGATCTGAGATTCAGGAAGTGACCTTAAGGCAAGCTTTGGATTGTTCATGTGATGTACCAAGTGAACCTGCATCACATGATAGGGCAAGATACCCATTCAACAGTCATATTTTCCCTGCATAAAAAGTTTACTTAAAAGCTATAATAATTAAATGTATTTGAAAAAGGACAGTCACAGTCTTTTAGCGTGGAGAGTACAGCATTCATTTCTGCCTGCAGTGACTTATTGCGTGATGTAACTTTGCCACATCCTGATTTATTGAGTCCTGTGCAGATATTAGTGTTATAAATATCCACCAATGCGCATGAGCATTATCTGACTCTCCCAGCTTTCCATTGTGCATGCTATTGATTGTCTGTGGTTCTGAGCCACGCTTACATTGATGAGGGGAGACCTGCCAGCAGTTATCAACATGCACATGTTGCAAAAATTACAAACGCGGATCACAGCTCTGTGGTATACACCAGAATATTTTGATTGTATTCTCCGACATGTTACTCGATACATGAAAATTTTCTTTTATTGGTTTAACATAACCGCTTGACTGCTTTGTGAAGTCTAATGGTTTTTGTCACTCTATCGGAGTTCAATGTATTTCTCAGTAACTCTGAGTTATTAGATTGTCCATTGCACTGACATAATAGGGACATCCTGATCAATACGTCCACACTTTCTTGTTAACACGCTGCACACTTTTCCTGCACTTCGCTGCACTCCTGATGCCAATCGTAGGCAGTAAAAATGTCTTTGTAATGAACTCTCACATCTGGAGTGAGTTTTATAGGCTAGCTTGGCCTTTTTAACAGAAGAATTTTCATTTCCCCATCTCTAACACATTAACAGACAAAAAAGAGCATTTTGTGAAATGTATGATACAAGAAGATAACATCTGATACCCACCCACCACCATGCCTTGCAGTCATACAGACTTGCTTCAAAAACAGTTTACCTCACATTTTGTTCCCTTTGCTGTTCCTATTTTTGATGAGCCCAGCTGTACGTGCCCCTGTGCACACTGAGCAATGAATGCTGGAAGCCATTGTGTTTTTTTGGCTGGCATAGCAGCTCACATCAGTGACATTAAGGCTCCATTCTATCGCTGTGTCTTCAGGCCATTTCCAAAATAAAGATAGATTCTTGTGATTTTTGAGACTTCTTTGGTGATATATTGAGACAGGAAGACAAAGTTCAAATAATGCAGCGCTGCTTCGATGTCTTGCAGCTTCAGCAGAACAAAACTTGTACAAAAATCCAGAAATATAAAAAAAAAAATGAAAGTGAATGAAAACTGCAGTGAAAATTAATGTTTCAGGCTTTTTTTTAATGTACACTGCAGAAATGTGTACATGTGGCTTGTATTGATTTTGGAGTTATACTGTACATGCACAGACCAATACATTCCTCATTCAGCTGGTTATTTTTAAATTCAAAAGGTGTCATACAGAGTATTCAATAGAGTTTAATAGAGTTCAAAGTAGCTGCTCGTGGCAGCTTTCCTTTCTGTCATTGGACGGTGCAGGAGTATAAATTGAAATGGGAGTGTGTGTGCTTCACATGTGCCTCCCAGTTCAATTAGAAGGCTCATCACACAAGGGAAGCTTCTGTGAACGTCAGGGCCCGTGGAAGACTGTGAGTACAGCTCTTGTCTCTATGGCAGCTTAGTTAGTCACAAAAAAGCAGCTGAAACTGTTTTTCATCCTCTCGAAACCTGTTGGTTTTTATTACATGTGAGAAATGACACTGATGTCAATGCTGCAATTTTAAGTTTAAATTAAGTTTAAGTAAGTTTATGTTATTTGTTTTCATTCTGGATCTAGATTGCAGTAATCTAGAATAGATCTATGAATTTGTAATCACTGAATGTATATTATAACAGGCATTCTCAGATTTTATAGATGCAAATATGAAGTATTGCTGTGTTCCTGTTATTATGCACACTTTGAATATGATAGAAAAATAAGCAAGACTGAAAGCACAAACCTCCACTAAGGCAGCTCACTCTCTTGGGGTCAACTTCAAAGACAGGCAGATGTGAAATGTAAAGGTGAGGTCGGAGGTCAAATGTGACATGATATTTGGATACAAACTGTAATGTAAGAATCCCCATCATATACCAGTTTCATTTCCTTTATTCTGCCAACGCAAACAAAGGCAACAGAATTTTAAGCATAGTTTAAGAGAAAGTTTTATCAAAGTTTTACCTTATTTGGCCTTGAAGAAGTCAGAGGTCCAAAGTAATGTGATATTTAGAATCCTCATATATCATTCACTACATACCAATACGTTATCAGTACAAACAATGACAATAAGAAATATAGTTTAAATAGATCATTATTATCACATTGAAGCAAAGGTTAGAGGTTAAATGTGACATAATATTTTAAATCTTTCTATGGTACAATAAACACCACAATTTTGTTTCTAAGTTATAAGGTTTTTAGTCAATTCTTGACTAATAAATCATTACATTGACCTTGAAGAATTGATGGATGTAAGCCAAATTTTAATGGACTGCTGACATATCCTACTCTACACCCCTACAATGTTTTATCACAATTCATTGAAAAACCTTTCACATTTATATTAGCAGAGGTAATAATGTGATCAAAGCAGAGGGATTTATATTGTAAAGTTGTAAATAAAGCAAATATTTTCCCAGGAACTGAGTTTGTGCAAGTTTCTGAGGACTCCTGATTGCATTGCCAGCTGATGGAAAAAAATTCAGACCTGTACATCCTCATCAGAACACCAGGGAGATCATAAGTCACAAGGCAGAAATGTGTGATCATCAAGAAAAAGAGCACAAGCACAGAAGACCAGCCGGCTCCAAAGGTCCACATGTGAAGCACCACCATCAAAATCAAGGCCATCAGCGTCACAATAATAAACAAAGGTCGGATGGCAACGATAGTCATGAGTAAGTCCATCCTTTTTCTAACTGTATGTTAACAATAATTATTTAAGCATTTCATATAGATTTTGTTTTTATTTTTACAAAATTAATCACACATTAATTAGACCTCACATTAATCATGTGAGGTCTTTTCCATTATCAGTGATGAGAAGTAACCTTTTCACCAATCACGTCATATGCTATCAGAATAGAATTTTTGTTTCTTCTTAAAATTGTCTTGGGGGAATGAATCTCTGGGGTTGGTTGGTAGTTAGGCTAACCAAGTATCAGAATTAATTTACTGTAGACACTGTGCCCTTTAACACCCATGTTTTCTTTTTGAAATAGCACTCATTCTACAGCAGAGGAGAGCATTTTGAGTGATCATCATACCAACCGTCAACATCAGTCCGAATCTCACCATTACCACCACAAGCAAAACCATCGTCATGTTTCTCTTTCACAAACTTCCTCAAGTTCCTCAAGCCATTCTTCTTCATCCTCTTCATCCTCTTCATCTTCATCGACATCCTCATCTTCCTCTTTGTCCTCCTCTTCTTCTTCCTCCTCCCCTTCCTCTTTCTCTTCCTCTTCTACAACATCTTCCTCTTCTTCTAGTCTGTCTTCTGAGAACAGCAGCAGAAGTGACACTTCAGATAGCAATCCTTTCAGGAAGCCACAGCATTCACAATCCTGGACCGATATCTCTGGAAAACACAAGTACTTTGATGAAGGAGATGATATGGCTCCTTTGATAAATAAACCAGCTAATCTAAATGAGCTGCCCAACAAACAGAAACAAGAGAAAAGCAAGTCCTCTCGTTGTGGCCCCAAAAAGGGAACCTCAAAAAGCCCTAAGAAAATTGCAAGAAGCTTTGAAAATGATGGAAGTTTCCGCAAGGCCAAATCAATGGAGGCTCTCACCACACCCAAAGACAAAGGACATGGAAATGAGGATGAAAATGAATCGGAGAAGAGGAAAAATGAAGCCAGGAAGAATTTAATGAAAGAAAAAATGAAGTTCTCTGCTTTTCTTAATGAGATTACTCGGCAGGTGCTCAGCCCAATGAGGCTAACCACTCTTGGCGTGACAGATGCGCAACGACCCTGCAGTCCAGGGCAGGCCTCTCTTAGATCCAGGAAGGCGGACAGCAGGACTGACAAACCTAGACAGCAAAGAAGCCGGCCCACCAGTGCGGACTCAATTAGCTCCAGCAAATATTCACACTCTTCGCAGTTGTCTCAGTCTAAATCTTTCCACGGTGAAAGTCGCTATTTTGAAGAGTCACCCCATCACATTCATCATAGGCCAAAAAGCTGCACAGAATTCAGCTGTTTTAGAAGACGTCACTCATGGTCTCAGTCTCCTGAGCGTCACTCCCATTCTTTTAAGCACTACCATAACCACCACAAAGGAGACCATGAGACTTCTAGTCACCATCACCATCATCATTACCATGGAAATAGCCCAAGTCCTCACCATCATCACAGAAAGGACCACAGTCCTGTTTATCCCCATGGAGATTCACATAGCCATACCTACCACAACAAAGATCACCACTCTGCATCACATCACCATTACCGTGGGCAACATCGACATAGAGAACCCTATAGCCCATCCCATCATCATAGTAATGCACACCATCACCACCATGGCAAGCACTACGGTCATGTTCATCACCATCACCATCATCATGTAGACCACACTAGCCAAGGCCATCACCAAGGAGACCATGATAGTCCAGACCATCACCATCATCACAAAGACCACCATAGTCCAGACCATCAACATCATCACAGAGACCACCATAGTCCAGACCATCACCATCATCACAAGACCACCATAGTCCAGACTCACCATCATCACCAAGAGACCATACCAAGTCACCACCATCACCAGAGACACCATAGTCCAGACCATCACCATCATCACAAGACCACCATAGTCCAGACCATCCACATCATCACAGAGACCACCATAGTCCAGACCATCCACATCATCACAGAGACCACCATAGTCCAGACCATCCACATCATCACAGAGACCACCATAGTCCAGACCATCACCATCATCACCAAGAAGACCATAGCCAAGGTCACCACCATCACCATGGAGACAACCATAGTCCAGACCATCACCATCATCACAAAGACAACCATAGTCCAGACCATCACCATCATCATGGGGACCATCACAAGCCAGACCATCACCATCATCACGGAGATCACCATAGCCAAGACCATCACCATCACCATGGGGGCCACCACAGACCAAACCATCACCATCACCATGGGGACCACAATAGCCCAGAACACCAACATCATCATGGGGACCACCACAGTCCAGTGCATCAGCATCATGGAGACCACCGCAATCTGGGGCATCCCCATCATCATCATGGAGACCGCCACAGTCAAGATCATCATCACCATCATCATAGAGACCACCACTTTTCAGACCATCATCGTCATCATGGAGACCATCACAGTCCAGAGCATCACTATCGTCACCGTGACCATCATATTTTGAACATTCACCATCAACATGACCACCACAGTCTAGATCATCATCATGATGATGTTGATAGTTCAGGCCATCATCACCATGAAGATCAACATAGGGAATCTCATCACCATCAGCATCATGGAGACCAGCACAATCCAGGCCATTGCGTACAACATGGAGACCACTACAGATCAGGTCATCACCACCATGAATCACATCCCAACCAGCACCACTCAAGAAACAATGATCTTGACCATGATGACCACCACACTCATTTGAAGGGGCATTCTGCTGGCAGTCCACCGACACACAGGAAGACGGAGCCTCTTTCCATTAAACCAGAGTCTTCCATGACAACAACAAGCAACCCCAGCAGCCACGAAGAGGAACGAACAAGTTTCATTGGCCCATCATTACAACAAGTATGGCATGATTATACTCACTGAAAATGTTTTCTATTATGATGTGCATACATACAAGTAACTACCAGGATCACATGGCTGCCTGTGTTTTATGTTTTTTATTATCTGGTTATGTAATGATGTTCATCTAATTTCCGTTCATATTGATTTGGGCAACAGCTTACACGTCATGGCAGACAATAGATCTGCAAATGACGTTCACGTGTTAAAGAACAATAGATTAGTTACAGAACAATAGATTAGCTACTAAATACAAACTAATAGCAATCAATTTGACATCCTAGACTAATTATAACTAACTATTCTGTGTTCATCTTTCATTTCATTTCATTTTTCACTTTAGGCCTAACAGAGTACCCATTGAATGCTTTTTTAAAAAACATTAATTTATGTATTTATTACTTCAATGCAGGAGAAGAAAGAGGAGCTGGGTAGAATCATGTAAGTGTAATGTTATTCGTTTGGGTGTTTGGGTGTTTGGGTATTTGGATATGTAACATAGAAAATATGGAACTGTTCATTTAAAAAGAAAAACAACGATTTAAAAATAAATGGCTCAAAGCTTGACAACTCTTGCTTTTTGTCTGTCTGTATTATAGGATAATACAGGAACAAAATGAAGGTCTGCACCACAGTTTGCTGAAGACAGCTGTAAGGATGGAGTGTTTGGGAGAGGAATTCATGAGTAGCCAAAAGCTGTTGGAGGCAGAACTTCAGAGGACACGCACAGAGCTCAGCAACCTCACGGAGAGGTTTAAGAGGTGATGAATGCCTTTTCCAGAGACTAACTGCAAATAGTGATAACTGTTATAATGTTTGCTGAGTAAGTCTGTCTCTGCCTTATTTCAGACTACATGATAACTGCTCGTCCACACAGCAGACTAATAATGTTCTGGAGCAAAAGCTTCACTCAGTGGTGAGAAAGCAAGCATGGCTGTACATCTGATGTAAGACATCCATTACTATAAACATATATGTGAGCTATTACATCTTGTTCCCCCATTTTCCTTCTGTTTCAGACTCAAAATATGGAAGAAGAACGACAAAGGTTGAACTGTCGTATTTCAGAGCTGACACAGCAGCTTGGTAATGTGAAATTTGCCAACTCTGGCGAAGTGTTCAGTGTAAGCTCTTTGGCATTCTTTCATTTCTAGGTCTGGAAATATTAGTAACATTTAATTCTGGCATTCCTTGCAAATATCAAAGTAGCGGCTGCTAAGGTTGCAGAAAAAAAATCTGATTGTTTAGATCAGTGTGGAAAATATCTCTAGGTGCTGCAAGTGAGCTGCAGTAATAAAATAAATTCATTTTGAAATTACTTTCTAGTCACATACAGTTAGATATTTATATAAATGTATTTCATTATATAAAAAATAACTTTAAACTGGTAACAAGGGGGTGGGGGGTTAATTTGTGATATTAATAATTACTCTCACCTAAATGTACCACTCTGGTATTGAAGTTTGTGTCCCAGAGGCAAGTGGGTCACACACTGGCCTAAACACTTGTGTCTGAGTATGATTAGCAATTTATAACCAACAGCCTGTGTAGTTTATGTTTTTTGAGTACAGTTTTCAAAATGTATCACTCTTTCTTGTATTTTGATTAGAGTGAGATTTATGATTCGGTAGCCCTGGAATTCTTGGTTTTTAAGCAGGCCTGCAGCACTCTTGATATCAGGAATGGCTTATTGCTCAGGTGGCAGAGCGTCTCAGCCACTAACCAGAAGGTCGGTGGTTCGATTCCAGGCTGCTCCATTCTGCATGCCAAATATCTTTGGGCAACATACTAACCCCATGTTGCTCTCCGATATATCCATCCGAGTGTTAGATACTTAGCACTTAAGCTTAGAAGTGCTTGGGTGAATGGGTGTGAATGGATTAGCTGTATAAAGAGCTTTGAGTGCTCGGACAGAGTAGAAAAGCGCTAGATATAAGAATCAGTCCATTTACCATTTATGGAAAAATACCTAAATTCCCACTGAATTCAATACCCCAATAATAATTTGATATTCTAGTTGTAAGTTTGTTAAATAGATGACAAACCACATGATTTATGGTGTTTCTAGCTTGTGATTGACAAAATGCATATGTATGTGGAGTGTCGTTGGTTTCTCAGTCGGATCCATTCATCCCTTGTGATTTCTGATGTCTGTGAAGATGATATTGAACAAAATGTCAAATTTGAGGTTTCAGAGTCCACATGACATGCAGGCTATATTAGTCTTTTCATACAGTATGAAGTATAAATATGTTTTTCCTATGTCTTAAATAGTTTAGAGGACAGCGTAGCACTCGGCATTAGTATAATTTTGTTCATACAAAACCTTTGTTTTCCTTTCAATCATATTTTGTATTTATTATTTCCAAATTCCATTGAACTGATCAGTTTCTCTTCTCATTTCAGGTGACTTCTGCAATACACAAAAACAACCATCATTTTCAGTCAGATGATACCATTAATCAGGTGGTTCTCCCAATCGCTCCCCCTCCAGTTCAGTTTATGGACAACGATAATTATGGAAAGGTTAAAGCTGCTGGGCAGGAGCAACCTCTAGGGTCAGTCCCAGAGGAGGAGGAATCTGACTGGTCTGAAGTGGGAGAAGAGACCCCACGGCTTATACTGAGAGGATCAAACAGGGGTCAGACCTGGAGACACCGGGAAGCAGACCTGGACAGAGACAGCGAGTCAGGAAGTGAGGAAATTCCCAGACGACACTCTCCACGCCCACTGCAAATACCTCATCTTCAGTTCACCTCCCACAGTGACAATTTACCTGCACCACAAACTAGTTCTCGCCCTTCTGGCATGAAGAATCTTTCTGATGACATTACAGGTGAGGGAAGTTACAGGTCCTCTAGTCCAAATCATGGATCTGCCATTCTTATCCGGTCAGCAAGCCTGGAGGAAATTCCTCTGGCATGCCATCACATGCAAAAAGAGCTGAGAGGCACAGAGGCCATGATGGACCTCCGCCATCGAGGGAATGAAGCTACTGAGGATTTAGATAATGAGATCATTCATCATTGGAACACAAGCAACCACAGGGTTATTGGGAGGCCAATAGATAGCAGTATGTCAAAGGCAGAAAGCAGCTTGGCCAGCCTGCAGTCAGCCGAGCGGATGCTAAACCACTTCATATGTGATTCTTACACTACAGAGGGAAGAGAGCAGGACAGGGCTGAAGTACATGGCTGGATAGGAGGGATTCCAGATGAGGTGCTGAAAGGAGAGCGAACAAAGCTGTGACAGTAACATGACTGCACTAAAATCCTAATTCAATGTAGCTGTAGTAGCAAGTTTAATGAATAAGCTCGTTTTAGTGGTTTATGGATTCAGCCACATTAATTTGATGTTTGATGTAATTTAATTTCTGAATTTGAAAAGTAGATTTTATGGATTTACTTTGATAAACTTTCCTACTGTCCAATTGGTGTATTCAATAAAAGCGATGAGTTTCTAGCTTTAAATTATTATAGCTGGCATTTGCTGAAAGTGATTGTTGGTTGATGAATACTATATATATAAATGTGCACCTTGAAAAATCCTGTACAGCTTAGATAAACTGATTAATTCATTGTAAAATGTAAATGTGTATTTTTGTTGCATAGATACAAATAGAATGGTCAGCCAAAACCACTGACAGGTGGGCCTCCAAGGCTCCACCACAGAGCCCACATGAGCCAAAGGTTCCACTGCTGAAACAACAAAATAGCCACAGTTCATACTCTGACAGGTCAAATGTGGTTTTGTGGCTAAAGGAGGACATACACAATGTTAGGCAGGTGGTTTTAATGTTGTGGCTGATTAGTGCAGTTCCTTTTCTTTTTTCATCATTGCAGAATTTTAAAAAGTCATCATATAAGTTATACTTATTTACATAGCTAGCTACTGTTAGATACTCTTGAATGCTATAAACAACATCAAGCACAATTTAAAACAGTTAAAAAGATCATATTGAACCTGATTTCCTTTCAGTTTATAGTAAAATTTAATTATGATAGGCTTGCCTTACATGCTACTGATAATATATATATACTTATAAATACGGTATTGCTATAGCTTTTAAAATGTGAAAATTATCTTATGTTTGCTGTTTTCCTCATGTTACAATATCCTGCCAAAATAAAAGCTTGCAAATGAACAGATTTTACAGTTGTGTCTCTGTCCATGTCACATCTAACTGAAATGAAAAAAACAAACCCAAAACAAAACAGTGAGACACAGTTTCAGCTGTGAATAGAATAGAATAGAATTCAACTTTAGTGTCATTGTACATGTCACAAGTACAAGGCAACGGAATGCAGTTTGCATCCATCCAGAAAGTGCTTTAGCAATAATATAGATATATTACAGAATATAGATCTATTATAGGTATGTTACAATGTACACAGTATTAAGGTATATTATGAATATACTATAACTATAAGCATGTACAGGCTATAGCTGTAGTAATAATAATAATGGATTGGATTTATATAGCACTTTTCATGGACCAGTACGGTAGTTAGAGCAGAGCAAAGTAAAAAAAAAAAAGAAGTAAAAATTCAATACTAGCATGACAGCATGGATACTTTGTTTCTATTATCTAAGTGATGTAATCCACTGAATTGAGTTAAAAATTATTTTTTGGAAATGAAAAAAATCTATAGATACACCTTAAACATGAAAAACGTCTGAAACTTATAGCATTGCTGTCACATCTATTTTATTTATGGCCTATATCACATTTTAAAGAAAAGCACGTTTACATTCCAGGTCTCCAAAACTTCCAGTTTCAAAATACAAGAAAAGCTGAAAGGTGTGTTTTGTTGCACTGACTAATAATTGTGGAAAGCAAAAATGTCAATACTTACCCGTGAACTGTAATAAATCATCATCTCACTGTATACATGTTCTGATTAAGAAGGTGGAGACAAATATTCATTGTAGATTTGTTTGCTTACATATAAGAGGAGTTCTGCAAAGTCAGAGCAAATGAAAGAGACCATATTGACCAGAAATATTAATGGAAAATTGGTACCAGTATGGAGGAGGTGAGAATGTTTCCCACCTTGGGACCATGCTACTTGGATTCAGAGTATTAGTCAGGCAGTAATGAGAGTTGGCTACTCTTCCCCTCATATATTACTACACAGAGTTGAGAGCCAGTGACTCTGGGTCCAATGGAGGACTTTGACTGTTTCTCAACCTGTAGACTTCTACATAATGGCAAATTGAAAATGGAAATAAATATTTAGACCTATTTGTCTAAATATTTTTTTAAATCTCATGTAATTTTCTTGTACTTTGTAATTTTTTCCAGTATCTGTGTACACAGATAATGACTTGTGTATTAATAATACCTCCCTGTCAATTTCAATTTGGCTTGTCATCCATGTCCCTCTGTATGAGTGACAGATGCTGAGCAGACAATGGCCTGGATCCACAAACCAGTTTAATAGGATAGGTAGGTATTAGTGGTAAGACGCCCCCCTGCATCCAGGTTTACCAAATCCAGTGTGCCAAATCCACTGTGTGGCACATTGGACGGTACACAGTGGTTGCTGGAGATAACTGGACTTTTTTTCAGAATCTTTTAGGAAAAAATAAGGTAAAATTTGACCCACCAACATCAGTTTAATTGAAGATGCACCACTTGTGATGTAAAGCTCTAAAACTCAGAAGTTTCCAGGGACTTTCTGCTAACCTCTCTACTTCTTAGTTTGGTTGTTTGTTTCTCACAAAACTACTGTTTTGTGTCTGAACTGTCCTCACACTGTTTATACAGGTGTGTTTCAGTTCTGCCGTCTTCATCTTTAAGCCTTTGGAGTCCTCCCTCTCATCTCTTCTCCTCTCTCACAGCCAGAGCACAGCATCGTCCCCCCGCGGCCTCGTCGCTCTCCTTCCCCTACCCCCCGGTGAGACCTGGTAAGATTCCCCCGCTGCAACCATGGTGGTGATGAAGATGAAGTTCCCCTTTCAGAAAAGGGTGAAGCTAGCCCAGGGACTGTGGATCCTGTCATGGTGTGCCACAGTTGCTGGGGCCACGACCTTCACCCTGGGGTGCATCCTCAAGACGGAGCTCCGCAGGAGGGCAGAGGTACTTAAAATTTGACCTCCTAGAGTGAATACTTTCTTATACTTTTTGAATTTACCCATTTTTGTCGTGTAGGATGCCTGAAAATTACTACTGGGTAACTACTATTTGCATGAAATGTAGTATTAAGAGTATTCATAGTTACTGTAACTGTGTGTAATGGGAAGAAAGTCATTAAAATTATTGTTGTCTGCAATGATAACTATTACAAATAATGTCAAATAATAAACCACTAATAAGTGCTAATATTTCTAATCTCACATCAAATTGTGCATTAAATATCAGGGACGATATATTTAATTGCCTGAAGAATCTGATTATACGCTATAATACCAGGTGTGAATATTCCTGAGTACACTCAACAAATGCCTTCTGTGTTGGGTTTTAACTGTAGACACTAGATTTTCAGGGAAAATGCAAAAGGAAAAAGTCTTAGAGGATAAATGAAATCTCCGTGCTAATCGGCAATCAACACACCTGTGACCCACTTTGGATCCTGACTCATCATTTCATAAATTAGGCTCCGTCAGTCTTAATTACCCTAATCCCTACTGCTACTTAAAGCTGTCACCATAGCTTTGTATGATCAGTTTTATTATAACACACGCTTGGAATGATTGAAAAACGCAAAGAAAATATTATCTTATTATGTAGACTACAGTAAAGGTTTAATCCCATCATCAGAGAACGTTTGACTGAACACAAGACTTTGTTGTGTTTTCAAAATTAAATTATTTTTTTAAATTTCCATTTTACCAAAATGAATCTCTGAGGATGTTAGTTTGCTTGACATATAGCTTCAGGAAATGTGCTCTACAAACATGTTCCATTGGAATCACATTGGTTTACCAAATACGTAAACCAAAGACAAACCAAAGACAAATAGTGCAGCATTCAGTAGAACCTCACTATTTAAAAGGGAAGTGGCTGCAATTTCATGCAGTTGTGGTGTTTGTGTCTGTTCTGTGTGGTAGAAGTGGATAACAAACTGAGTTCTGAGTTACTAAATGTACGACAGGTATCCTTGAACGATACTTTTAAGCCCCAGCTGCTTGTGGCTCATACATTCTGGTCTAGTTCTTCATTATGACATTTAGCATCTGACAGTAATGCTGACAATATGTTTTATTTCTATATATATTTACGCACATTTACAAATTGACGTCTCTTCATAAATAAAGGTGGAATCCTTTTAAGCCTTCTAAGCCTCATCAACGCATGTTGTGATGTCAAAAATGTTAACTTTCATTTCAGGACTGTACTCTCCGCATTAGTGTCTATATATTCAAAATAGTAGGCATTGGAGAAGAACAGTCTGACTTATTAGAGGAGAAAAATTGGTTAAAAAGTTTACATATACATGCAATTATGTTTATGGCTGTGAACATAAGCTCTCTGGACATTTTATTAGACATTCACCTGACACAACTGCTTTTTGCTTTTAAGAACTGACTTAATTATTCATAGCAAAGTTTCAACATGGTGCTGGAAACATTCCTTAGAGAGCTTGGTCCATATTGACATGATAGCATCACACAGTTATTGCAGATTTTTTTGGCTGCACATCCATGACTTGAATTTTGGTGTTGCATCACTCCCAAAGGTGCCAGATTAAGATCTGGTGGCTGTGGAGACTGTTTGTGGACAGTGAACATTATCATGTTCAAGAAACCAGTTTGGGATTATCTAAGCTTTGTGACATGGTGTGTTGTCCTGTACAAGGCCACAGCCATCAGAAGATGGGTACACTGTGATTATAAAGGGATGGACATGGTCAGGAGCATGTAAGCTTTGGGGTTTAAACCATGCTCAGTTGGTACTGAGGGGCCCAAAGTGTGCCAAGAAAATATCCCCACATCATTACAACCCCAAAACAACAAAGTAAATCATTGATACAAGGCAGAAAACGAGACTCACCCGACCAACATTTTTCTAGTCTTCTGGTGTTCAATTTTGCAAATTGCAAAACTGTAAAAATGCAAATTGTAGCCGCAATTTCCTGTTCTTAGCTGACAGGAGTGGTACCTGATGTGGTCTTCTGCTGCTGTAGCCCATTGCTTAAATGTGTTGTGCACTCAGAGATGCTCTTCTGCATACCCTGTTTGTAACGAGTGTTCTTTTTTCAGTTACCATTCCTTACCTATCGGATTGAGGTAGTCAGGCCTTTCTACTTAAACCTTTAGTATCACAGATACATTTTCAGTGTGAGCTGAAGCTCACTGGCTACAAGCAATCTTCAGTCATGGTTGTGTAGAAACCCCCCCACCAGTATATCAGCAGTTTCTGAAATACTCAGACCAGGCACCAACAGCCAAGTCACTTAAGTCACCTTTCTTCTGATGCTCAATTTGAACTTGAACAAGTCATCTTGACCATGTCTACATGCCTAAATGAACTGAGTTGTTGCCATGTGACTGGCTACTTAGGTATTTTTGTTAACAAGTAGTTGAACAGGTGTACCTCACAAAGTGGCTGGTGAGTGCGATTTCCATAGAATTTCATACTTCACTAATTTGTTCTGCATAATTATTGAAATAAATTTGAATGGTTTAATATTCCACACATTGCTGTGTGACTCACTTTCAGGTAATGGATAACCAAGACATTCATATTGTGCCGAACACCCTCATGATTGTTGGTCTCGCCTCCTTGGGCATCAACTACTTTGCATCAAAGATCTGTCAGGATGCCCTGGACGCTGGGCGATTCCCTCGCTGGAAGAACTTCTTGAAGCCCTACTTTGCCGTCTCTTGCTTCTTCACCGTGCTCATGCTGCTAGCTGTCATCATGAGCTACGCAATGAAGGGCAGTCTGGAATCTTCTCTAAAGGCTGGCCTGAGGAATGGCATCCGCTTCTACAAGGATACAGACACACCAGGCCGCTGCTTCCAGAAGCAGAACATTGATCGTCTGCAGATGGAGTTTCAGTGTTGTGGAAACAATGACTTCAGGGATTGGTTCGAGGTCCAGTGGATCAGCAACCGCTACCTTGATTTCAGCTCTAAGGAAGTGAAAGAGT